CTTTTCACTTATTACATTAAAAGCATTTACCCACGTTGTTTTCTAATAGCCACAGCCATCATCCTTCACAGCTGTTTTATGTCCTATTAAGTGAATGTGTTATGCTTCACCTAATTAGTCTCCTGTTATTTGATATTTAGGGTGCTCTCTGTAGTGTTACACATGGTTTGAAAAGCATGTTGATGCAGTGCAGCTGGTGAGAACTTAGAGCCTTCCGTTCTCATTGCTGGCTATTTGTCACACTATTGGTTTGGTCGGAAGTCCTGTTGGCTACCTTGTCTGAAGAACACGTAGATTTTCCATGTTTATTTTTGGCTTTGTTAACTATAAATACTATGAAGTGACACAATATTTATGTTCTAAAATTTAGGAACAACTTTTAGCTTGTCTTTAAGTAAAACCAGGTGGTCTTTACTTTGATGTGAAAAAAGCAAGGGAATTGTTCCTCTGGAAAAGTGGTAGAGAAAACGTAAAAAATAAGCATTGTGTGTGAAAGTCAGGACTGGGGTCAGGGAAATGAAAAAAAAAGTAGAGTTTCAATAATTCCTTCCATTTTCTTTCCTAAATATAGTTTTCAACCTCAGATGCACATTAGAATCTCACGAGGATGCTTTTAGAAAAGTATTGATCTACAGGCCCTATGCCCACAGGTTTTTAATTTATTCATCTACGTTGGAGCCCAGGCAGCCAGGGTCACAATTCACTGCCCTAAAAGGCTGTGCACAAATAACATGGAAAAACATTCAGCCTCACTAGCCATTAAAGAAATTCAAAACAAAATGACAAGTAATTTCTGTCTATAAGTGCGTTTAAAAATAAGAGATTACGTTGAACAAAAGAAGTCAGACACAAAAGAGTATGAAACTGCCCCGACAGTGTTGACAGGAAGTATATACTGGGTTCCGGACAGAAATATAATGATAATAAAACATTAATCAGGCTTCACTTTGGTCCACCTCCTTGTTGCTAAAAGTCACACACCATTAGATACTCATCACTTGCATCTCCATTGTTCCTATAGACAGGACTGCTAACATTAGAATTATAAGTTTTTGTTTAAGAATTGCTTGGCCAGGTGAGCTGGCCCATGCCTGTAATGCCAGCATGAGAGGCCGAGGCGGGTGGATCATTTGAGGTCAGGAGTTTGAGACCAGGCAGCCTAGCCAACATGGTGAAACCCTGTCTTTACTAAAAATACAAAAATTAGCCAGGCAGTAGTGGCACATGCCTATAATCCCAGCTACTCAGGAGGCTGGGGCAGAAGAATCATTTGAGCCTGGGAGGCGGAGGTTGCGGTGAGCCAAAATTGTGCCACTGTACTCCAGTCTGAGGAAGAGTAGGATCCTGCCTCAAAAAAAAAAAAAAAAAAAAAAAAAAGGAATTGCCTAAGAGGTTTTTTAGATACAAATTCCAGCAACCAGTTTGAAGAGCCCCCAAAAGGAACAGAATCAGCATGAGAATACAGCTTCTTCATCTCCCTGTCCCATGACTTCACCCTGGACTCTTTGACCTACCAACCATCTCCACTTTTTGGTCCAATCTAAAACTCTTAAAAACCCTTAATCTAAGTTCCTCAAGGAGATGAATTTGAGGTTTCCTCCCATCTCCTCATTTGTTGACTCTATGATTAAACCTCTTTTTCTGCTGCAACCCAATGTCTTAGTGTGCTGACTTGCTGTGTACATTGGGCAACAAACCTATTATGGTTACAATTACAGATAGCATAATTCCGTTTAGATGAAATTCTAGGACAGGCAGAAATCAGAACAGTGGCTACCTGGAGGGAGGGAGAAGCAGTAAGTACAGATAACTGCAAACAGGTCATAGAGAACCTTAGGGGACAATGGAAATGTTCTGTATTTTTTTCTTTCCTTTTTTTGAGATGGAATCTTACTCTGGCATTCAGGCTGGAGTGCAGTGGCACAATCTTGGCTCAGGGGCTCACTGCAATCTCTGCCTCCTGGGCTCAAGTGGTCCTCCTGCCTCAGCCTCCCGAGTAGCTGGGACCACAGTTGCACACCACCATGCCTGGCCAATTTTTGCATTTTTGGTAGAGACAGGGTTTCACCATGTTACCTGGGCTAGTCTTGAACTCCTGAGCTTACGCAATCTGCTCACCTCAGCCTCCCAAAGTGCTGGGAGTACAGGCATAAGCCACTGCACCTGGCCCTGTTCTGTATCTCGATTGGGGTGGTGGTAATAGGGGCACAAACATTTGTCAAAACTTATCCAATACTACATTTAAAAATCTTTGCATTTGTTACATGCAAATTATATCTCAATTAAACAAAGAATATTGGGGAAAATGTCATCAGAACCCCTCTCCCCATCAATAGCAGTGCTCAATGTTAATGAGGATGTGGTAATATTGCTACTCTTATATAATGATGGCAGAAAAATTTAGTAGTGTCAGAGGCATTTGAACCAGAGCAACTCCATCTTGAATAAGGGCTGGGCAAAATGAGGATGAGACCTGCTTGGCTGCATTCCCATGAGGTTAGGCATTCTTAGTCATAGGATGAGACAGGAATTCGGCACAAGATACAGGTCACAAAACAGGATGCACTAAAGAAGCTAGCCAAAACCAGCCAAAACCCGCCAAAACCAAGATGGCAATCAAAGTGACCTCCTTTCCTCTTCACTCTTCATTATATGCTAACTATAATGTATTAGCACGATGAAAGACACTCTCATCAGCACCATGACAGTTTACTAATGCCATGGCAACATCTCGAAGTTATCCCATATAAACTAAAAAAAAGAGGAACCCTCAGTTCTGTGAAATTCCTGCCTCCTTCACAGAAAACAAGAATTTTTTATAATTAACAATATTTATATTCAAGAATTTATATTCAAAACAAGAATATTTATAATCAAGAAATAACCATAAAAATAGCCACCCAGCAGCCCTTGGGGCAGCTCTGTCTAGGAAGTAGACATTATTTTATTTCTTTACTTTCTTAATAAGTTGCTTCTACTTTACTCTTTAGACTCACCCTGAATTCTCTCTTGCATAAGATCCAAGAGCCCTCTATTAAGGTCTGCGTTCAGGACCCCTTTCTGGTTATGGTAGGATACTTCGCGATGTTTGTCAATACATTTTAAGATCTCTAGTTCTATAAAAATAAATTCAAGAATGAAAAATATATATACCAAGATGATTTTTTCAGCATTGTTTTGAATAAAAATATTCAACCGTTAGAGCAATGAGTCATTCTTAACCAAATTAGGATTCTGTTGTGAGATTTAATTCCAGCAGGTCTAGGATTAACCTAAACTGTTTTGCTAAAGTGCCTGTTTGGCACTGACTGTTGGTCAAGCACATTACAGAGGGAAATATAACGATTAATGTGGCTTCATAACCTCACTCAGGTCCAAGTAGTACAAACCATGGCAGTTTATACCAGTTTATCAGCATTGTTTATTGATAACAATGACAATGACAATTTGCACCAGGTCTCAGTGAGACCCCTAAGAAGTCTCTGCTCTTGAACCAGGTTACATAGCAGGAATATGCTTATGTGAACAACAGAATATAACAAGTATTTAACAAAATCTCAGCTGAGACTATTTTGGGCTCCCTGGATGTGAGGTGGTCAATGCACACATGGGTGGTTCCTGATCTCAGGGGAAGTGCGTTCAGCTATGGCCCTTACAGGAGGAACAGCATCCCAGCTCCTGCCTGACTCCTCTGGACCCCTTGCTGTGAAACACCCATGGGCTCTAATGCATATGCTTCCTCTAATGCTGTTTCTATATTACACCCTATTCCTAAAATAAGGTATACATTTATTTGCACTGTAATTTTGGGTTCTTTTAGTCTGTTAACTGTTGCACCCTGTTTAACTGCTGCTTTTAGTAGTGTAACAACTTCATGAAATACTGTTTTATGAAAATAGCAAATTTGGAAACTATAGCAACAAAGCATAATGTTTATCAGATGATATTAAAAGAAAGATGGTATAACTTTTACAAAAGCTATGATAATAAAAGCATAAAGTTATGTTTATTGACAAGACACTAGGAGGGAACTTGGGAGAATGTCTGCATAAGTTTTGTTTCATTCAAAAAATTTACACTGATCACAACAGAGAGGTGTGCCAAAAAGAATTATGAAAAAAATTTGCGCTGGGCACAGTGGCTTACACCTATAATGGGAGGCCAAGGAAGGAAGATCACTTGAGGCCAGGAGACCAGCCTGGCCAAATAGTAAGACCCACCCATTTCTATTAAAAAATGTTAAAGTTAGCTGGGTGTGACTGCATGTGACTGTAGTCCCATCTACTCAGGAGACTGAAGTGGGAGGATCACTTGAGCACAGGACATTAAGGCTGCAGTGAGTTGTGATTGTGCCACTACTCTGAAGCCTGGGTGACAGAGTGAGATCCTATCTCAAAAAAGAATTTTGTTTTTTTTGGCAATGTTGTTTCATTATATGTGAAATGAAAAAAAATTTAACTACCTAAAAACCAAATGTCATTTTACCTTTGGACAATGGTATTTGCCTGATATACATATATGTATGTATGTATAGAAAGAGAGAGAGCATGTATCATATCTGTAATAGATATCATCGATCATTATATACAACAGCTATGGAATATACATATTAGTAATACTCTGTGTCAATTCTCTGAAATAAAAAAACGAAAAAGCTCTTTAAATGAGGAGAGGATGGTTTAGGCTGATGAAAGTACGTGAGGTGAAAAAAAGTGTGAAGGCAAGTGAGAAGGGTGTATTTGGGGAAAAACAAGTTCAATACCACCAAAGCTCAATGAATGGTAATCTCCTTCTCCCTCCCTCTCTTGAGAAGAAATTAGGCTCATCTCCCTAGGAAAAGCCCTATGAATAGAAATTTTGGAAACACAGGGATTTTTTGGTGGCCCTCTCGAAAGGGTGCTTCAGTGAGCAGCCCACTATTTAGCCCTAGAGCTGGCTCAGCAAGAAATAACTACTCTACCTACACAGTTTTCTTCCAAGGAGAACTTGTCTTTGTTTACCTCACATGGACATTAAGCAGCTTCAATAATCGCACATATTCTTCATGTAGAGCTTCTTTCTCTTGCTGTAGCTTAGACAGCCTCTCTGATAATTCCTGGTTGCTGTTGACATGCTGAAAAACATTGAAAAATAATGAGAATTCTGGAATTCTGACCTGACAAAGGTATAATATTGAAGAAATGTAAACTGGCAAAGTCTTTCTGCTAAAAAAAAAAAAAAAAAAAAAGCCAGGTGCGGTGGCTCACGCCTGTAATCCCAGCACTTTGGAAGGCCGAGGCGGGTGGATCACGAGGTCAAGAGATCAAGACCATCATGGTCAACATGGTGAAACCCCGTCTCTAGTAAAAATACAAAAAATTAGCTGGGCATGATGGCGTGTGCACCAAGTAGCTGTAATACCAGCTACTCAGGAGGCTGAGGCAGGAGAATTGCCTGAACCCAGGAAGCGGAGGTTGCGATGAGCCGAGATCCATTGCACTCCAGTCTGGGTAACAAGAGCGAATCTCCGTCTCCAAAAAAAAAGCTTATAGTCACCCCTGCTTCTGAGTTCATAGTAGCTTAGTGAGATTCGTGTACTTCCAGATTTTCTGAAAGTCAGCAGCTATTTCCCTTGCCTTTTGCTTCCCTTTATTAAAAATCTTCCAAGGCTGGGCATGGTGGCTCACACCCATAATCCCAAGATTTTGGGAGGCCAAGGCAGTCGTATCACTTGAGTTTGGGAGTCTGAGACCAGCCTGGGCAATATGGCAAAACCCCCTATCTACAAAAAAAATACAAAATTCTGCCAGGCATGGTGGTGTGTACCTGTAGTCCAGCTACTTGGGAGGCTGAGGTAGTAGGATGGCTTGAGCCCAGGTGGCATAGGTTGCAGTGAGCTGAGATCATGCCACCACACTCCAGCCTGAGTGACAGAGCCAGACCCTGTCTCAAAACAAAACAAAACAAAACAAAAAATCCAAAAATCTCCCAGCTTAACATATATAAAGTGAAAGCTGTTCTCTTGAATTAACTCTGATAAAAGTATTTGGCTCTAGAAGTGACTACAGTGATGAGAAACTCAAAGTTGGGAATTTGGGATTGGTTATCTGACCTGGCTAGCTTTGAAGGCAATATAATCTTGTCACTAGTTCTAGCAATCCATGGCAAAAGAATTAAGTTTGTACTTTTAAAAGTTTATACTTTTAAACTACTTATAGTTTCTGGTAATGAAGTGCTTTAGAAGACCATGTAAGTGGTATAAAAAGTGTTTTAATGGAACTGAGGACTACAAGGATTGTGAGGTGGGCTAGCCACATCTGACCATGTTACTGAGCTTAGAAGAAAATGTCCAACTTTGGGATTTAATTACTGGAACAAGGCATTGTCTGAGAACCAGAGACCTTCTATGAGTGTCCTAAAATAATTTCTCTCTTGTAGTCAGAAGACCAATATATCAAAAAAACAAATCACAAATATCAAGTGGATTGCAGAAGTACAACATTAATTGATTTCACAGGCTTGCCAGGTCTCTTATGTGAAGAACAGGGCTTTGGGAATGTGTGGAAACCTGAGAATTGGGAATGAAGACATCTGAGAGGACTCTAAAAATGTTGAACCCCCTGGACACAGTGCCTCTCTTGCCAGCACAAGCAGTCCCTCCTCTCCTGTCTAAGGAGATTAAATTTAAAGATTCTGTATTGATTTTACCCAAGGCACTTATGTTGTAAGGGGCTGCATATTGTCCTCAAGGCCCCCTCTATACCACCACCACTTCTCATTGTCTCCAATCCTGTAACTACAGTTGGATCCCAGCACACCATGGTGAGCTGGTGTTAAGTGTAGGGACTGACCTGGGGACTGCCATACTGAAAGAATGGCAAGACTTCGCCAACTTAAATTGGCAGAAACCTTAGGAATATATGCAGGAATGTATTTGTAGGGAGTTATACTAGTCAGTGCCCCTAACTTTAGAACAACATGAGGGTTAGAGGCACTGACCCTCCACACAGTTGAAAATCTGCATTGTGATTTTTTTGACTCCCCACCAAATTACTAATAGCCTACTGTTAACGAGAAGCCTTGTCAACAACATAAGCAGTTGTTTAACACATATTTTGTATGTGTATCATGTATTGCATTCTTGCAATAAAGCTAGAGAAAATAAAATTTTATTAAGAATATCATAAGGTAGAGAAAATACGTTAAGTAGAAGTGGATCATCACAAAGTTTTTCATCCTCATCGTCTTCATGCTGAGTAGGCTGAGGAGGAGGAGAAGAGGAGGAATTGGTCTTATCATCTCAGGGGTGGCAGAGCTGGCAGAGGTGGAGAAAGTGGAAGAGGAGGCAGAAGGGGAAGGCACATTCAGTGTAACTTTACAGAAATACACTGTAATTTGACTTTTTTGCCTTTTCATTTCCCTAAAAATATTTCTATATGGTGCCAATCCTTGTTTGTTGTTCATGTTAGTTTCAGTGCCTGTATCATATAGAAAGGTCCATATTGTCAAATAAGTCAAAAGCAGTCTTGAATGTTTGGAATCCTTCTGCCAGATTGTCTAAGGTCCATTTGTTTTCTAGTACTGCTTTTTCTGTTTTCTTCCTGATCATTTGGCACTGGTTTGAAAGTACTCATCTCCATCAAGTTGTCCTATGGTCATTCCTCCTCTGGTGTGGTGTCTATTTCTCCAAGATTCATATCTTGAAACCCTGTAATCCCCACTTTTCTTAAAACCATATCCACAGTCTTTACCATGATATCCTTGACAGGATCTGTTGTAAATACTGTGAAGTCATGCTAACATTGGGACACAGTACTCTCCAGCATGAATTCGTTGTTTTGGGCTTGATGGCTTTCAGGGCTTTGTAATGACGGCATCTTCATGCCTGTCACTTGCCACACAAATAAACTAAAAATTACAAAAAGAAAAACAACAAACAAAAACAATGATGGCACCTTCAATAGCGCAATCCTTCCAGACTTCCCTCTCTATCAGGGTTCCCTTCCATAGCTGACAATCTGGTCTGTAGTGTACTGTCTACCATGAGCCTTAAAGGGCCTTGGGACCCCCTAGTCGAGAGGCTGAATTACAGACACGGTGTTTGGGGGCAGGTAAACTACTTCAACATCTTTGATGTTGAACTCATGTGGTTCTGGATGGCCAGGGGCATTTTTCCAACATCGAAAGAACCTTAAAAGGCAGTCCCTTGTTACCAAGTTACTTCTTGACTTCAGGCAGAAAGCATCGAGGGATTCCATCTAGAAAGAGTTCTTGTTGTCCGGACCTTCTTTTTATAAAACCAAATGACTGCTTTGATTTGCTGTTGCAATCGGCTTGCCAATATTTTATTGAAGATTTTTGCATCTATGTTCATCATGGATATTGGCCTGAAGTTTTCTTTTCTTGTTGGGTCTCTGCCGGGTTTTGGTATCAGGATGATGTTGGTCTCATAAAATGATTTGGGAAGGATTCCCTCTTTTTGGATTATTTGGAATAGTTTTAGAAGGAATGGTACCAGCTCCTCTTTGTGTGTCTGGTAGAATTCGGCTGTGAACCCATCTGGACCTGGGCTTTTTTTGTGTGGTAGGCTCTTAATTGCTGCCTCGACTTCTGACCTTGTTATTGGTCTATTCATAGTTTCAGCTTCCTCCTGGTTTAGGCTTGCGAGGACACAGGAGTCCACGAATTTATCCATTTCTTCCAGGTTTGCTAGCTTATGTGCGTAGAGTTGTTTGTAATATTCTCTTATGATGGTTTGAATTTCTGTGGAATCTGTGGTGATTTCCCCTTTATCATTTTTTATTGCATCTATTTGGTTGTTCTCTCTTTTATTTTTAATCAATCTGGCTAGTGGTCTGTCTATTTTGTTGATCTTTTCAAAAAACCAGCTCTTGGATTTATTGATTTTTTGAAGGGTTTTTTGTGTCTCAATCTCCTTCAGTTCAGCTCTGATCTTAGTTATTTCTTGTCTTCTGCTGGGTTTTGAGTTTTTTTGATCTTGCTCCTCTAGCTCTTTCAATTTTGATGATAGGGTGTCAATTTTGGATCTCTCCATTCTCCTCATATGGGCACTTATTGCTATATACTTTCCTCTAGAGACTGCTTTAAATGTGTCCCAGAGGTTCTGGCATGTTGTGTCTTCGTTCTCATTGGTTTCGAAGAACTTCTTTATTTCTGTCTTCATTTCATTGTTTACCCAGTTAACATTCAAGAGCCAGTTGTTCAGTTTCCATGAAGCTGTGCGGTTCTGGGTTGGTTTCTGTATTCTGAGTTCTAACTTGATTGCACTATGGTCTGAGAGGCTGTTTGTTATGATTTCAGTTGTTTTGCATTTGTTGAGCAGTGCTTTACTTCCAATTATGTGGTCAATTTTAGAGTAGGTGTGATGTGGTGCTGAGAAGAATGTGTATTCTGTGGATTTGGGGTGGAGAGTTCTGTAAATGTCTATCAGGTTTGCTTGCTCCATGTCTGAGTTCAAGCCCTGGATATCCTTGTTGATTTTCTGTCTGGTTGATCTGTCTAATATTGACAGTGGAGTGTTAAAGTCTCCCACTATTATTGTGTGGGAGTCTAAGTCTCTTTGTAAGTCATTAAGAACTTGCCTTAAGTATCTGGGTGCTCCTGCATTGGGTCCATATATGTTCAGGATCGTTAGCTCTTCTTGTTGTATCGATCCTTTTAACATTATGTAATGGCCTTCTTTGTCTCTTTTGATCTTTGTTGCTTTAAAGTCTATTTTATCAGAGATGAGAATTGCAACTCCTGCTTTTTTTTGCTCTCCATTTGCTTGGTAAATCTTCCTCCATCCCTTTATTTTGAGCCTTTGTGTATCCTTGCATGTGAGATGGGTTTCCTGGATACAGCACACTGATGGGTTTTGGATTTTTATCCAATTTGCCAGTCTGTGTCTTTTGATTGGTGCATTTAGTCCATTTACATTTAGGGTTAATATTGTTATGTGTGAATTTGATACTGCTATTTTGATGCTAAGTGGCTGTTTTGCCTGTTAGTTGTTGTAGATTCTTCATTATTTTGATGTTCTTTAGCATTTAGTGTGATTTTGGAATGGCTGGTACTGGTTGTTCCTTTCTATGTGTAGTGCCTCGTTTAGGAGCTCTTGTAAAGGAGGCCTGG